AATTTATATTATACTATATTACAAGTTAAATTAATAAATATTAAGTACATATTAGAAAACAAGTTTTCTAATATATACTAACCAATCTATCTGAATAGCTCTTAATTCTCATTAATCATTATTACAAGATTCTAGATAACCAAAAGGTCCTGGTTGAATTATGTCTTTAGGTAAAGAAAGATTTATCTCTTCTTTCATAGTTTTTATAATTATAGGCCACCATAGAGCTATAACCCAAACTAGTACAATTATTATAATCAAAGCTCTGTATTTTTTTATATAAGTGATTGCATGATGAATTATTGTAAAGGTGAATACAGATAATTGATAACACCTCTTTAATCCTGTAAAAAACAATTTACTGCCTCCAAGCCTAGACAGAAATGAAAGCTATTAAACCTTTTTATTTTTGTATTTAAATAACTCACAAACCTGTTTATATTAAATTTGCCCTAATAACTTTCTAACTAGTTTACTATTTTTGTTTTTAGTTTTCAATCTCCAAAATCCAAAACCCTTGTAAAATCATCGGCTATATTCATCTCACTTGGTACCTACTGTGTTTAAAAAATATTTATATCCTTTTCTATACAAACATTCTATATCTCTTATACAATTTCCTTCTGCTATCTTATAAAATCTCCTTTTTGTACTGTTCTTAATACCAATTTGTTGTCTATCATTAATATTATTATTAAGCCTTTTAGCAGGTTTCCAAATAACTGAAGAACCTGCAATATAGCTATAGCTTTGAGTTAAGCAATTATATTTGTTAACAACTTTTCTGTCCAACTCTCAGATGCAACCAAATTTTAGTAAACCTTTTACCAACTAATTATTGATACATCTATATAAACTGTTTTTATTCTAGAAGGTTTCTATACTAAAGAACTATTTTAGCTTCTCAAATTTTCTATTAACTAATATACATTCTCTATTGTACTCACAAACAATTTTATCTCTTTGTTATATTTGCTTTACTATTAGTTTTTGGCATCTATTAACTTGTAAAACTCTAAACTTTTTATATATGCAAAGGCAAATACTCTTGCTAAACTTTGAATTTTGCCTACAACTAAGGCTAGCTTCTGAACAGAGACTTTAAGTACCTCTAATAGAGTTTTTAGAAATACAAGTATTGAGTCTATTTTTTCTTTTAGATAATAACTAAACCTTTTAGAGTGTCAATAATTAGATCGCAAAACTTTAGATTTTGTATTAGATCTGAATTGCCTTTCTCTTTCACCCAAATCCATCTATAGCCTTCTAAATCTCTTCTTATTACCTCTTTCTATTGTTTTAATAGAATTATTTTTGATAGATAAGCCACCCAAATATTATCTAGATAGTTTTTATAATAGATTTCCTAGGCTTTTCAACTTCTAATCATAGCTCTTATCACTTTTGCAAATATTCAAAAAAACTGGCTTAGGCCAAAAGGAAGCACTCTGTAATAAAACCACTTTTTTTCAAATACAAAACTTAGAAAATATTGAGCCATATTGTCTATCATTAGATAGTGATATTCTTTCTTTAAATTAAAAGTCAAGACTTACCACTTTTTGTCTATTGTTCTTAAAAATAGTTTAATTCTTTCAAATTTGAAAGACTTCTTTGGCAAGATTTTGTTTAGCCTTCTGAGGTCTATAATTAACCTGAATCTCTTTGGGCCTTGTTTTGAAACTACAAACACTAGGCTTATCTCCAATAAGCACTCTGGTTTCGACTTTCCTTCTACTACTAATACTATTGCTCCTGTTTCCCTTAAACATTCTAATTCTTAAATTATTTACTCTTTTTCCTCTAGTGTAAACTGCTATGATTTTGGTACTAGCAGTGATACTAGTCTTATTACTCCTCTAAGAAAAAGAGAGATTTTCTTCTCCAACTATTCCATTACAACTAGAGTAGGTTTTATTATCTTTTTCTAATATTGTATTGCTATCTTTAAATATAACCTTCTTACTACTAAAGGTTCTTCATTTAATATTTTTTTGCTCTTTTTTTGTAGCTATATCTTTTTCCAAATGTGGTTAGCTTCTTTTAGATTTGACTCTATTTTTACAAAAGGGCATATTTATATGCTTTCTTGACCCATACTTATTAGTATAATAACCTCTACTATTATATAAAAAACATACTACTTCTTTTGAAGTTTCAAATCTACTAAACATACTTATATTTTTATATATAGCTGAAGAAGAGCTTTGAAAGGCTTGCTAATACTTTAATATGTCTACTCAAGAATTCTGTAAAGCAGAATTTTGTACTAGCTATCTCCAAAAACAAAACCCAAATGTGTTTTGAGGGCTAGTTTGCTCTATTAATTTCTCATTATTGCTAGTTCGGAGGGCATATTCTGAACAAGTATCTGTTGCTAATTAGGCAGAAAAAAAGATTGTAATTATACAAATATAGATATATATATGCTTGAAGCTTGTCTTTGCTAACTATATATTGTTAGAGAAATCTTTGATTGCTTATTTCTAGAGAAGATCTGTGTAGCTATTCTTGCTTTTTTATATTTTCTACTAAATAATTCTAATACTAGATTCATAGCTTTATCTAACTTTATTTTTGTAGCTATACGCTATCCTCTTTATCTGCCACTCTAATAATATATGCTCTTTCAAAAGCTACTTGTCTAGCCAAGTATACATACTCAACTTTACTAGATGAAAGAGCCTTATCTAACAATAGGCCTGCCTTGCACTATTTATTATATTTCTATTAATTTCTCACTCTAGAAAGCTCTCACTTCTTCTATACATTTTCTTGAAAATTTTAATTTAATAGCACTTCACTTGTAGAAGATATCTAGGATGACAAATCATTATCTATTTTAAAACTCAAACTATTACTATTGAACAACACATTACCAAAAATATTAGCGAAAGCTTGGTCTACTCTACTACTATTATCAAAAGACACTTTTAGATTTCTATTCAACTTTACTATCTTTTTTTTTACCTAAATTTTCTAAACCAACTAACTCATTCCTCCTTTTAGCTTCACTAATCAAACAATTTACTAAATCCTGTTTTGTGTTTGTCTCTAAAACTCCTATTTTATAACACAAAAATTTCAATATTTCTATAGACAATTAGCCAAAATTAGTATTAAAATTAAACTGGCTATTTTTACTAGTTGTTTCAACATTATTGTTAGACAGAGATACAGATTTATTCTCAATTAATACTAACTTAACTTTGTTTTGACTCATAGTGTTGAAAATATTAAATTAACTGACTGACTAATTTGCTTAATAAAACCAGAACAAATTTCAAATTCACAGAAGAAACAAAGTTATTTTTTTCTATACTTTATTAGTATTAATATATACTATAATCAAATTAGATATTATCTAAAATAGTATAATATGAAGTATGATATATATTGTATAGTACATAAAAAATTAAAAACACATATAATGTATATGTATATACTTAAATTATATTGAACTTACTCACTTGTTGGCTATACTAACTTGTATAATATACAGTCAACTCTGTTTATAATGATCTGATAAGTCTTATAGTAAAAATTTTTAAAAGTTCATTATATAGTAATTTACTATATTTTATATACCAAACTTATATTAAATTTGAAAAAAAAAGTTCATTATATAGTGTGTTCGTTATAAAAAGATTCGTTATATCCAGAGTTGACTGTATCTTCCAGATAATTAATAATGCATAATTTTTTTTATACAAAGTTACAAATTATGTTACTTGAATTTTAAATTCTTTAAATTTAGAGTGATTAGCTATAGATTCATTTCTAGTTAGATTATTTTTAATATGGAATACAAAGTTTTCCCAATAGTCCTTACTAATAATATCATATCCTAGTATTAATAAACATCTACGTATATATTTGGGCAGATGATACTTCACAAATCATAACCAAGCTTCTGGCGTTTTAAAATTATTGATATAGTTTAAACCATATTTGATTAACATATAGCAGGTATAATTATTTTTTGTCTATTCTTTACAAATATCTTGAATATTGGGCATGTTTATATTTTGATTTTATTAACTAAGACTTTTTATTTAATAAGTATGAGCCAGGATCGCTAGATCTTTGATGGCAGTTGCAGATGATTTTTAGCTTATAGGTAAGTGGATTAGTAAATTGGTTTGCATATATAACTTTACTTAAAAAATATCTAATAAGTTTAATTATTGTAAAGCAGATTCAAAGCAATAAAGCTGGGTTATAGTGAATAAATAAATAAGTTATGAACTAATCTAAATATTCTCATATAAGTCATAGATATCCTTAATTTCAGAAGTATTCTCATTAATTGTCTTGGGTGTGAGAGCTAGGGTTTCAGGTTCAGGTTCTGGATCTGAGTCAAGGTTAGAATCGGTATCACCCTTGGTATAATAAATTCTAGAATTATGATGATCTATCTTATGTCTCATTGCAACTCTGCTAAGGAATTTGAGATGTTGTGAAGTTGGATTTTGACATCATGAACTCTAGAAGCATGTTTACCTTCAATTTTTCTTAATCTTTTGGCTATAATACCATATGTTTTTAAAAATTTACTAAATACTCCTGTACCGCATTTTTCATTAATACTATAGACAGGATTGCGTAACTTTCTAGTTGCTATTGCATCTTGGATCCAGGTAAACAATTCTTTTGCATGTTTTGGATTCTTTTCCATAGAAATTGCCAAGGTTTGGGATTGTTTTTTGCTTTTATTTTATTTTTAATATACCTGATACAATATCAAGAATAACCAGGCTTGTACTATTCAGGAGGATTCGATTCACCAGGTTTATAATGGATAATATGAAGAGTGACAACTTCAGCGAGTCTTATACTCAATATCATAATTACATCTGCAAAATCTTGCATAGTAGAGATTTTAGTAGTATTGATATTTTAAATTCTTCTAAGTCCTTTCTCTAAGGAAAAGTGTTTGAGAGTTTTAGGTGAATTAGGTAATCACTATTCGAGTTGCCTCTTTTAAATTTCGTTAAAAGCTCGAGTAACTTCTGGTAATTTGGCATATATATAAATTTGCTTAGAACCAACTCTAGCTTCTGCTAACTTTCTACGAAATTGTGAAACACAAGAACTGGCTACCACAATTGCTTTATCTGTATTATTTTTTAGCACAGCTAAGTCTAAAGCATGTAACCAAATATCCCACATATCTTTAGTTTTTGCACAATATTGAGCTCTTTCTTTGATAATAAGCCTTTTTTTTTTGTTATTTGGAACCAGAGCTTCTATTTCATTTTCTTTGAATAAGCACCAATAGAGAGCCTTTTTCACATCTTTATGAGCTTTCCAATCCAGTAGCATAGTACTAAGCTCATTGGCATAAGCACATAATTGAAGCGGGTTTAATTTGGCCGATAGGTTATATTTATTAAAAACCTGATCCAAAATGGTAATAAAGCTATTAGTTTTGGGTTTTCTAGTTTTTTGGACAGTTGCTATAATAGATATGTAAATAATCTATATCGATAAATAAAATGTATTTATAGATTAACCTACTTATTTTTTTCAATTTAAAATTAATTACTATGAGTCAATATATATACCCAAAATTTAATAGATTGCTGTTTGAGTAATCTTATCAGAAAATAGACGCAAACAAGACACAAGTTCAATCAGGCACAAAGTGTCATTTCTTCTGAAATAAAGTCTTAGAATCCATAGCTTTACACAATAAAATTACCAAAAATATAGAAGGCATCAAAGAGGATATAACATTACTTAGGTACATAAGTGCCATTTTTCTAAAATAAGAGGTCCTGGAAAAAATAATCAATATATATATATGCCAGATATATGATTAAACTTCATGCATAAAATTAGAGAAGTTAGATATATAATTCTTAAACCTGGTAATTTGTGCATATAACTCATCCTGCTTTTTTCTGTTATAATTCTCTTTACTTTTATATTTTCCTACATATTTATTGCATGCATTATATTTAGACCTATTTGGCTCACTACAATCTCTACAAAAAGTAGGTATTGGAGAATTACGATGAATATAACATCTTCTGATTTACTATGTCGACCACAGATTTTTCCAGTTCTATAAATATATAAGCAATGGTATAATATCATCGTGATTATATATAATAATTACTTCAATCAAATATATAATTTTTTTGGCATCCAGCTA